GGTTGAAGGTGGATAATGAATAGCAAACCTGGTGGTTGTGTTCAATTCCCACACGAACCAATTTTTTTTTAAGGCAGTTTAGTTGATGGTGGATAATGAATAGCAAACCTGGAGGTTGTGTGTTCGATTCACACACGAACCAATTTATTTATTTTTTATTTTTATTTATTTATTTTTTTGTGTGGGCGTAATTCCTAGACAGGATTGTTCATTTAATTCATATTGAAATTAGTGTTTTAATGGTGAATTTGTTTTTCATTCAATGGGAATTCATATATTTTATATGAGAAAAATCTATGGATATTCAGCTTTCCGTTTACTGGATCCGCCACTGATTATAGCTCTGGAGTTGGAACATAACCGAAGTCCGTTTTGGATACCAAATATACCTCCCATATCTGGGCGGTATATAGGAGCTATATTTTATCTAAATTGGTCCATCTTGCCAAATCCATCGAGAAAAAAGGTATCCTAAAATTAGTTACGGATCTCATGAAAACGACTCTACTAATATATGTACCTAGACTTATGGCTTTGGACCGGGCACTCAATGATCTATGGTCCGAATGGGGTGGGGATGGTGGGGCAGGTTTGGGTGGTGGGGCAGGTTTGGGGTGTTCTACCTATAATGATTGTGTGTGTGTGGCGTTAATGCTGGAGCGGATGCAGGATTTTGAGGTAGGGGTGTGTGAAAGTCCACACCACCTCAGCCCCACCATGGTTAGGGTTGAGGTAATAACATTTTGAGATTATGATGGACGTCTAGGTGCCCGGAAACTGCACTCTCATACCTCAAAAATATTACATGGAATTCATATCAACAATACAATACAACAATTATTTTTAATACAATTTAGAGCGGGTGCGATCGGATCGTCTGTACCCCCTCCTGCATCGACGTCGATCCATGAATGGAAGGTGGGTGGGAGTGGAATTAAATTAATGTGAAAAAAGGGAATGCTTGGGCCGTAGGCTTTTTAGCCTTTTGTAAGTTGTATTTAATTGATCTTAAGGATAACATTTAACATTGGTTTCCACATTACGTTTTCAGAATATTCATTATAAATCTCGTAAACTTGAAACAAAAGCCCACTTAGGCCTATACATTTATAAAAATATTGATTTATCTTATTTACTATCTACTGATTATCATGTTATATGTTTTCGAATGAGATTATTTGACAGTCATTCGTAATTGTTGTTCTTGCCACTAGCTTTGAAAAGTCGGGTTTTGATAGGAAGGGGGAACAATAATTGATGTCATGTCCCTCCCACTTTGAAAAGGGGGGGGGAAGGGCGTGTCCCCCTGTCCCCACCGATTGGCGGCCATGGTGAGAACTGTCAGGGTTCTTACACTTGCAGTGCAGAAATTCGCTTTATTAATATTGTTTAAATAGGCCTTTATATATTAACCTTTCAAAAATCCTTAGTATAAAACAACGACATCGTGACATTTTTAACACTATTATTGTGGCCACTATCAAAGCACAATACTTTATTTTATACATTAAATGTAATTTATTGAATATATCGGCTCACTTGTTTCGTAAAACATACCGGTAGGCCTATTGGATGCCATGGCATCATGACTGAAGATAAAACCGAGCGAATTGGGTTAGAAGAATACAAACACACTATTCACACTAAGTTCTTTGATCGACACCATGGTCTAATAAATTCAATATTATATATAATAATAATGAAAATATAAAAATCCAGTATTGCTAGACTAATAGAATATTGTATACTAAAATTTAACCGAAACGACCTACTTACGAATTTATAAATCAGACACTTGGTTTTTAATACAGCTCGGTCATACCACATATTGAAAAACAAGACTTAAAAAACCTCTCTTGAACTTATGTATTGTCAGTATACTGAGAAATTTATGCACAAATTGAACTTATATGTTGGTCGAAATAAAGGTAAAAACCTGGAACATGTATACCTGATTTTTGTCTGTCAGGTAATATTTAACAATACTACTTCAAACATATCGTTTTCATTATGTTTCACCAACAAGAAATGACATGAATGTGCCACTGACGTTTTGAAATAAGGAGCATTACCAATACCAACGATTGGTTGATTGAAGAAATAATTTAAGACAAATTACATGAATGTGCCACTGACGTTTTGAAATAAGGAGCATTACCAATACCAACGATTGGTTGATTGAAGAAATAATTTAAGACAAATTACTGTCGTGTGCCTGGCTTCTAGCCTTCTTTCTGGATACAACAGCAAGTGCACAGAACTGGCCAATGAGGATAGTGATTTATATGTTATTCTATCAAACACTTAGGGATTAAGTTGTTGATCGCCTTCCAATAAATAAAAATTAAAAATGATAAATAGATAAATATTTAAAAATGTGTAAACTTACATGTACGAACATTTTACGCAAGATCATTAACATACGCATGTAGGCTATACACGCTCAATTTTCTAAAAAAAATGTATTCACCATTATTGTATTTTTTTTTTACAAGGCAAATGTAAATATGCATATAACATGTTCATTCTGATACCCCGACAAATAAGTCGACTGGAATCGTAAGTACTTTGGGTTTACTAATTCTAACCACTAGTGGGCGCTGTGCCCTTTAAATAAGGTACCCTATTACATCAAAACATAGGCCTATCAATCTGGGAATTCTAAATTTCATGTTTTTTAACCAGAAGTACACAATTCGAACAGCATTTGAGACTTATTTACTGGTCTACTGGTTTATATGGATATTCCGTTTGGGATGTTATCAGGGTGAAGGCTATAGTAGGGAAATTCTCGGCTTGCATTTCGTTCGTCAATGGTATTTGCTGCAATCCGGAGGTCCTTTCGAAATCTATTTTTTTAAAAGCAAAAAGAAAGACTCATGAATGATCAGTCACAGTAAATGTCTAGGCCTACTCAACTGGTCTATAAATCACTGACCTTGTTCGCAATACAAATGTTTACAATAATATGCTTATACTTCATAATACATAGGCCTATGGCAAACTACGGATTTAATAAGATCATCCCATCCGATTTTCCGACCATCCAGGAATAAAAGTAAAATTTCAATAATAATAATAATGACGATAAATAAATATGATAATGATGAGGAATAATTATGATAATGATAATCTTCATCATCAGCCTTGCTCCTCCAAATTATCGTCATTATTATTATGGTGTTGATGTTCAATTATGTAATACAGTTCCTTACTGTTGTAAAGCTTCGCAACACTCTTCGCTGTACAGCCACTGTTTATCAAACTCAGCCAGTTTGCTTCTGCTGCTTAGACTCCATAACTTGGCAACCGTAAGCATTTCAAGAACTTTGCTTTTTTCTGGCAGGGCCGCTACCAAATCAGATTCTGATCGTTCACTCTATAAAAACAGAGAGTATTACGTCAGGAGTCGTTGATAACAGGAAGAATTCTTTCTACAAACAGGCGTACAACCCGCACAGAAAACCATTTTGCAACTAAATGAATAAAATGCATGCTAATTGGTTCCTATTACAGGCATATGAGTTAATATTGTTGATTTTTATTATTGCATACATAACATCTAATAAATACACCATCTAATACTACTATGTGAGTGTTATGACAACATCATAAAAAACATTAGGCCTAAATGCACACCTGAGTTATAGCATCGTCTATCTTTTAAGAGATTCTCATTCAATATCGGACGTCAAAAGGCGTTTAAAGTTGGAATAGAGCGTACACGCGACTCAAGAGAAAATGGCTGTGATTTAACATACCTTATCTTTTGGTGGTTCTCCATTCAGGAAGACAGGATAGGCAGGTGGGTAGGCGTAACGTTCATAAATTCCATGTTGAGAAGAAGCGCATCCCACGCTGGAAACAAAGATTATCACCGTGAAAACCTCGATAACTTGTTCACGAGTTTCGAAGCCGTCCTCTCCACAAATTCCCTGTTAATGAAAAAAGCATCGCGATAAGAAACATTACGTAACAGCACCATTTATTTAATAGCCCATAATTAAGATCTTCAAAAATACAAAACATCAATGGCAGCAACAATTAAAAAAAAAAGGGAAAAAAAGATGTGCTGTAATTCTGGATACATCTTGCTCGTGTGCAATTTAAAGAACCATTGCGTCTTTCGGAAGAGTAGGAAGTTACCCCAATGATATGGTTCTTTTTAGCCCCTGTATTTGTGGAATGATGTGAACATGTCATTCCCATGAAGCACCTCCTAGGCCTATTTACGGCTGCTAGGTACTCACGAGCCACGCCCATACGCAATTCATAACAATGACGCTGCAAGTTATGGGTTATTCTCCTACCTACCAACCTCTCAGTGAAAAATAATTTTTATGTAAATCTTTTAACTTGATCAGAAGTTTATCGTACCGGTATGTCGCAGCCACCGGTGTCTACCGATTTCGAAAGAGTACTTCTAAAGCCATACAGTTCAAAATCATTCTCCACCACATCGTTAGATTCTAGAATCGAGAAAAAAAGACAATAATAGAGATTTTAGCAAGCTTACGAAAACAGTAACCAATACGGCTACGTTTTCAAATGTTAGTCAATCCAATCCCCTACAGTACCATATCTGTCACAACGTAGGCCGTTCAACCTACGATCATATTCAGCTCTTATAATGTATTTCAAGAACGTTTTAGGCACAAATGACGATAATGAATATGGGTATTCGTTGTTTTCGTAACGTTGCGAAAAGTCCCTATTAAACATCATTAATTAACGAATTACAATATATAATGCAATGCCACAGAGGTGAAATGCCTTTTTTTTGTCATATTCAAGAAGGTTTTAGGCACAAATGACGATAATGAATATGGCGTATTCGTTGTTTTCATAACGTTGCGAAAAGTCTCTATTAAACATCATTAATTAACGAATTACAATATATAAGGCAATACCATAGAAGTGAAATGTTATATTTTTTTAAACCCTTTTCCCATAAAATCGTTACATCTGGTAGTGTATACACGGCCAGCTTTTAGTCTCAACTTCCTGTTAAATTTACACAAACGGATCCGTTTTAAATAGGCCTAATGTTTACTCTGAAGTATATATATACTGTCTCTTATACACATCTAGATGTGTATAAGAGACAGTTATTGAATATATCGGCTCACTTGTTTCGTAAAACATACCGGTAGGCCTATTGGATGCCATGGCATCATGACTGAAGATAAAACCGAGCGAATTGGGTTAGAAGAATACAAACACACTATTCACACTAAGTTCTTTGATCGACACCATGGTCTAATAAATTCAATATTATATATAATAATAATGAAAATATAAAAATCCAGTATTGCTAGACTAATAGAATATTGTATACTAAAATTTAACCGAAACGACCTACTTACGAATTTATAAGTCAGACACTTGGTTTTTAATACAGCTCGGTCATACCACATATTGAAAAACAAGACTTAAAAAACCTCTCTTGAACTTATGTATTGTCAGTATACTGAGAAATTTATGCACAAATTGAACTTATATGTTGGTCGAAATAAAGGTAAAAACCTGGAACATGTATACCTGATTTTTGTCTGTCAGGTAATATTTAACAATACTACTTCAAACATATCGTTTTCATTATGTTTCACCAACAAGAAATGACATGAATGTGCCACTGACGTTTTGAAATAAGGAGCATTACCAATACCAACGATTGGTTGATTGAAGAAATAATTTAAGACAAATTACATGAATGTGCCACTGACGTTTTGAAATAAGGAGCATTACCAATACCAACGATTGGTTGATTGAAGAAATAATTTAAGACAAATTACTGTCGTGTGCCTGGCTTCTAGCCTTCTTTCTGGATACAACAGCAAGTGCACAGAACTGGCCAATGAGGATAGTGATTTATGTGTTATTCTATCAAACACTTAGGGATTAAGTTGTTGATCGCCTTCCAATAAATAAAAATTAAAAATGATAAATAGATAAATATTTAAAAATGTGTAAACTTACATGTACGAACATTTTACGCAAGATCATTAACATACGCATGTAGGCTATACACGCTCAATTTTCTAAAAAAAATGTATTCACCATTATTGTATTTTTTTTTTACAAGGCAAATGTAAATATGCATATAACATGTTCATTCTGATACCCCGACAAATAAGTCGACTGGAATCGTAAGTACTTTGGGTTTACTAATTCTAACCACTAGTGGGCGCTGTGCCCTTTAAATAAGGTACCCTATTACATCAAAACATAGGCCTATCAATCTGGGAATTCTAAATTTCATGTTTTTTAACCAGAAGTACACAATTCGAACAGCATTTGAGACTTATTTACTGGTCTACTGGTTTATATGGATATTCCGTTTGGGATGTTATCAGGGTGAAGGCTATAGTAGGGAAATTCTCGGCTTGCATTTCGTTCGTCAATGGTATTTGCTGCAATCCGGAGGTCCTTTCGAAATCTATTTTTTTTAAAGCAAAAAGAAAGACTCATGAATGATCAGTCACAGTAAATGTCTAGGCCTACTCAACTGGTCTATAAATCACTGACCTTGTTCGCAATACAAATGTTTACAATAATATGCTTATACTTCATAATAC